CCACGACCATGATTATAACAACCACGGTAAACTGTACCACCGGACTCGCCACCGGGCACGAAGGGCCCACGATCACTTGTTTTAAAAACTAAACTAGGACTGAACCCCATTAGTATTAGGTCCCATTAGTAACAGGGCCCCCATTGGACACGTCACCATACCCCTTGTAAGTTCCCATTGTAAACAACCTTCTACTTAACATCTATTAGGAAGAACCTGAGTAGAACCTTAAAGCAGTAAAATGGAATAAAAGAAAGAAAATTGGAAGATGAAGAAAATTTGAAAAAAAAAAGGAAATTAGAAGAACCAATTGAAAGTAGGAAAAGTGCGACAGCGAAAAAAACAAATGAAGAGCTTGGGTGACGTTATCTTAGTTTTCGGTAAGGGAGGGGTTTCACAGAAGGAATATTTTAACACAAGAAAAACTAGAATAAAATAAATGCACTGAAACAGGTTATGTGAGACGTGATAATCTTTTACGGTTTCTTAGAGCGTTTTCTTAAGAGTTTTATTATACTTGGCCGTCTCCCACACCGGTGTTTTGGTACTGTAACCGAGCGAAGTGTTGTGTAATGATCCACAGCAAAGGAAGAGGGTTAAAATTAAGGTGAGTCGTGGGATACAATAAGCAGGTAACCGGTCGCCTGAGCATGATTTCCTCCATTTAACACACGCACGCACGCACACACACACACACACGCACACACACACACACACACACACACACACACACACACACACACACACACACACACACACACACACAGTTCTATTCCTGAAAATTACGTCAACTCCTGTTTGGGAATTCCCACTCTTGGCGTGATGTGGTGTGGTGAATTTCCAGGTACAGTTCAGAAATAAAACAATCCCAGATAAACCGCACAAAGAAATCGCGATATGATGGCAGCCAAGTCAACCATAACCACCCCCCCACCCAAAAAAAAAAAAAAAAAATCAATATAATTAAGATGCAGTTGTGGTTAATGAAGGCAAGGGATAATATCTGAGTTTTATTGAATTACGATGGTTCTCAATTTCTCTTGTACAGAAACGTAATGGTACGATGTGTGTGTGTGTTGAAGGGTCACATTATACGTACATGTAATATGTACAAATGACCCCCACTGTTATGAATTATGTAATGTTGACGTTAATATAGTTCTGCAGTTGTGTTATTTATGGGCATTTAATCATTTTAAATCACCTTTAATATTAAATTACCGATGTGACCTCTGTGTTGGCTGGTGGAGAGCATCACACATTCTCTTACCATAACTGTACAACACAGCCTTGTTCACACCTTATCTCTGACTATACACCAACCTATGAGTGAAATATACCATCCATGCGGGACATTTATAGGGGAATGTACATGTTAATATGTGTTCCGCCATGTGTGATGATGTATACAACTTGTTTACTGATTTTTATTGAAGCTGCGCGGCGCGTTAGGGACAGTGTGAATACAACATACAGTATACTGTAGTGGTGTAGTGTATGTTAATCCTTCAGTACACGAGGGTGGACGGTACCGCCTTCACTTCCCCAACTAATTTTATAGATTTCGTTTTTGTTTTTTACGGGGTTTAGCCCACCCGGGGACAGGTCTCTGACCCACATCGGGAATGCAATAATAATAATAATAATAATAATAATAATAATAATAATAATAATAATAATAATAATAATAATAATAAATAAAAATAAATAAAAAGTGAGAAACAATATATGTATGTTGTGTTGTCAATGGTAAGAGAACCAATTGAAACCCTGCAATTGTGTGTAAATGAGGCAGAAAGTCAGATCAGCAACCTGGGACTTGGTCAATTTTTGTGATGCCATATGGCAGCAGGGTCTACCATAGACAAAACATTCTGCTTCCAATATCTTCCCAGGCAGTAGTACCTCCCTGTTTGGTAGCTGCCTACTACTGTATACAGATGGGTTGATTGGGAGTATCCAGGATCAAAAAAAATTAAACCTTAAGACAGGATTTCCTAGAGTGGTGTCGACACAGGCCAAGGACGGGTATGCGTTGACGTAGGTTAAGTGACGTAAGTGGGGGAAAACAAGTTATCGATTTGTAAGCTAGCTATAAAAAATAAACCTTTAGGAAACAAATGGTGGTCCTAAAATAAGCCATTTAAAGTGATGCATGGAGAATAATATTAAAGTAGAGACAAAATTAAATTGGTATCGCGTTTGTGAGGAGGTGGCTATCCAGTGTGACTCTTATAAAGCACTACAGGTTTCCTCCAGGTTTTCCCCCCTGTCCCAACACTGGACAACGAAGGTCGTAATACAGAACAGATCGACCGCCCGACCCGTTAGTAAGCTGACAAGTGGTGACAATGATAAATAGGAAAAATAAGTGTAAATTATAAGTCTCCTCCTAAAGAACTTTATTGTTTTCTACAAATCCAATATTTACCGTTTTCTATTATCACCGTACACTGCTGGTTGCTAGGGGCGTTGTTAGGGACGCTCACCCAACAAAACATGGATGACGCCCCGGAAACAAGACGACGGGTGAGTTAATTTTTTGAGGTTATTTCAATGATAAAATTATAACTGCAACTTGTCCTTATACACTTCCATACATATAAACTTTCTCCACAACTCAAAGTGGTCACAACGTACTCCAACGCGTTTAAAATCCCCTGAAGCCTTACCAAGTCACTGGGATATGTTAGTGGTGTACAATAAGAATTTCACCTGAAGATTAGCCTTCCTATCTTATTTCGCCTATCGATTAAAACCACCCTATCGCTACCTGAGGGGGGGCTTAGGTTAGGTTAAGTTAGATTAGGTGAAATTAGATTAGGGTAGTTTAGGTTTGCTTAAGTTAGGTTAGGATAGGTTAGGGTAAGTTAAGTTAGTTTATGATTAGGTTAGGTTAGGTCATATTAGGTTATGATTAAGTTAGGTTACGTTAGGTTATGACTAAGTTAGGTTAGGTTATGATTAAGTTAGGTTAGGTTAGGTTAACATTAGGGTATTTTCATTATCAGGTAAAATAAGCTCAGGGCTAATCTTCAGGTAACTCAAGCTATTTTTCACGTAGATATTGTATCTGTCCATCTTCTAGTTAACATCACAAGTTTCTGTCGGATTACTAGTAGATATACAATATTTATTGCTACAACACACATGAGAAACAACACGAAATACATTGAGTGTTACTATTACTTTGTGTTGCAGTTCTTTGTCGGTCTAACACAATAACATAACTTCAAACTATATACGTCACTATATAAACACAACAAAAGGATATTGTCACACTTTTTGCACGACACCTCACTGATATTTTTTCTTCACAACGACACAATAAACACTTCTCGACGACCCATATACAAAAACAACTATTCACCATATTTTGTGAGAAGATTAACCGGATCGTAAAACTCGGCGACATACAACTTTCCAATTTCCGACGGTAAATATTTTGACGAATAAAAAATAAAAGTAATAACCGCCATGATAAAACTTCCCGCTCGTCTGACGACTAACTGACTTGTATCAATATGTGCCTTAGTATATTCCCAGACAACACTGTTATTTGATACACTTTGTCACACTTTAATGCTAACCTCACATTCACACAAGCATTATATTTAGGTATATTTTTAACTTTAGTCACAGTTGTCATGTATCGCCAGTGATTATAACTATACCTATTATTTCTAACCCCAACCACTAGCAACAAATTCTCCCCTCCCTCTTTCCTTGATAAAATAGTGAACTTATTACGCTATTTATCAGTTTTATATATCTAACCAACACGGGAATAAAAGATTCATTCCCGGCACGACTGACAGGATAGCGCACTATTCACTCAGGTAGTATAAACTTACTGTATAGTGCTCCGAAATAATGTTATTCTCGTTATAAATATTCCCTACGTGTTTGAAATAAAAAAAGGCTTCTTATAGAACTTATCAGAGTAAACTTAAGTATCATCGTAACTCAGGCACACCATAAACGTCACGGGAGGTTTATATTTATTTACCCAGACAAAAAGTGCAATGAAAATCTCGCACACTTTACATGCTAGTACACTTATACACCACTGCACATGTCTATAATCATCCAGGTTTTCACATGTCTTAATTTACTGGCCACAGATTGGGATTATCGTAGCCCAGGCATACCGTGAGCGTCGCAAGAGTGTCCAGTTCTCGTGTGTGACGCCAGAGGACAGCCTTGTCACCTTCCCCGCCTACACTGACCACAGCTTCCAACACCTCAGAAAACTTCACGAGAAGGCCGTACAGGTGAGTCATACCCGTTCATCATCATCAATTCAACATTATTATTATTATTATTATTATTGATCAAGTTAAGATATAGCCTCCAGGTTATTTCACCCAATGAATAAACACCCTATCACTACCTAGGGGTAAATTAGGTTAGGTTAAGTTATAAGACATTGTGGAATAGGTTAGGTTAGTTAAGACACTGTAGGATAAGTTAGCGTTAGGGTGGTTAATTATGATCCATTTGTATCCTCTTCCCCCAACACCCTCTCACCCTCCCTCCCCCTCACGAACACACAGGCAGTGGTGCAGGTGGTGGAGGGGACGTGCCAGACGGAGGTGAGGGTACCATGGAGCCGGTGGGTGGAGACGACCCCTTCAGACCCCCCTGGACCAGACGCCCCCACCTTCCAGATCTCACCTGAGGTATTAAACAGGTGAGAGATAACTAGGGGGGGGGAGATTCTAACAAGGTACTCAACAGAGAAAGGATGATTTTATACAGACCTGATTTTTTGTTCTCTAATATTAACACACACACACACACACACACACACACACACACACACACACACACACACACACACACATACACACACATTCCAAAACAGTCCTTAACCCTCTTTAAAAAAAGCTCTACTAAGCCTCCCGTTCAACACTCTTTAGGAGAGTTTCGCCAGCTAATGTTCGCTCGATGTCAGAGTAGGATTATGATTGTTTTCACCCCTTCGGTAGGTTGGAGGCAGTTGCAGGAGACGGCGACGGTGGACGTGCTGAGTGACGACTGGGGACAACTGGGGCTGGTGGACCGCTCAGCTGCCTTACTGCTCAAGCCGCTTCACCATGCCGGGCAGGTCCACTCTCCCAGGCCTGAGGGTACGTTGGCCTTAACCTGGGTCCACTCTCCCCAGGCTAAGGGTACGTTGGCCCCTTAACACAGGTCCTCTCCCAGGCTAAGTACGTTGGCCCCTTAACACAGGTCCTCTCCCCAGGCTAAAGTACGTTGGCCCTTAGCTTACAGGTCCTCTCCCAGGCTAGGGTACGTTGGCCCCTTAACACAGGTCCTCTCCCCAGGCTAAGGTACGTTGGCCCTTAACACAGGTCCTCTCCCCAGGCTAAAGTGCGTTGGCCCCTTAACACAGGTCCTCTCCCAGGCTAAGGGTGCGTTGGCCCCTTATACAGGTCCTCTCCCAGGCTAAGGGTACGTTGGCCTGCCTGGAGTCCTCTCCCAGGCAAAGGTGTACGTTGGCCCCTTAACACAGGTCCTCTCCCAGGCTAAAGGGGTACGTTGGCCCCTTAACACAAGTCCTCTCCCCAGGCTAAGGGTACGTTGGCCCCTTAACACAGGTCCTCTCCCCAGGCTAAGGGTACGTTGGCCCCCTTAACACAGGTCCTATCCCCAGGCTAAGGGTACGTTGGCCCCCTTAATACACCCTTAACACAGGTCATTTCCCCAAACTAAGGGTACGTTGGCCCCTTAACACTGGTCCTCTCCCCAGGCTAAGGGTAAAGAGAGAGAGAGAGAGAGAGAGAGAGAGAGAGAGAGAGAGAGAGAGAAACACAGGTCCTCTCCCTTATGCAGGCCAAGGGTACATATGAGAGAGAGAGAGAGCCAGTAATTGGGAAGAGATATAACCCCGTTTTCTGTGTACTGCCGTTGATGTAAATTTAAGCATGGTCTCCCGTCACCTTTGTCAACACAACATCAGTCGACGCTTCTCTCTTTGTATACCCTTAATCACTTCACATTCCCTCACACTTTTTGTTCCTACTACCAGGGGGGGCCTCTCACAGACTCTTGTTAGCAGTAATTATAACCTACCTCTGTCTCTTTGCCTGTCTATCTGTCTTTTTTTTTTGGAGGTGGGGAGGTGAAGATTTTTGTGTCAATTTGTCTTTTTTTTAAGTGTGTCTGCCTGTCTGTTCATTCGATCCCATTCTGTCAATTTGTCTGTATGTCTTTTTTTTCAATTATCTGTCTTTGTCTTTTTAACTTTGTGTCTGTCTGTCTGTCTGTCTTTAAAAACTGCGTCTGTCTCATTTTTTTGACCTTTTGTGTTTATTTATCTGTCTTTTAAACTGTATCTGTCTGACTGTCGTATATTGTCTGTCTGTCTCTTTGTTTTATTAACTGTAACACAACACAGTATAATTTGATTGTGATAGTGACGGTGGTAGTGAATGTGATAGTGATAGTGACGGTGGTAGTGATGATAATATTGACAGTGATGGTGTGAGTAATATCATAGTGATGGTGAGTGATGGTGACTGGTGTGGTTAGTGATGGTGGTGGTGATAGTGATGATGATGATGCTGGTGGTGATAGTAGTGATGGTGGTAGTGATAGTGGTGATGATGATGATGATGATGATGGTGGTGGTGATAGTGGTGATGTTGGTGTTGATAGTGGTGATGATGGTGGTGAGAATGACATTAATGATAGTGATAGTAATGGTGATTATTTTGTTTGAATTAAACTTTAAACATACAAGAGAGAGAGAGAGAGAGAGAGAGAGAGAGAGATATTAAACCGTTTATCTTTCATTCTTCTTCATCAGACGAGATGGAAGACGAGGAAGAAGAGGATGAAGAACAGTCGTCCCCAGACATACTAAAGCTGCAGATGTTACAGGTAATGTACACACACACACACACACACACACACACACACACACACACACACACACACACACACACACATCATCAACCCCCCCAAATGTGTGTGTATAAATAATTTCCTCCCGTCTTGAAACATCTCAGACGATGACGCAAACACTTCTTCGTTCTTGCAGCGTAAGATGATGAGACGAATCCACGAACGCCGCGCTGCTGCCGCCGCCGCCGAGTCTCCCCTCCAGCGGTTTCTGCGTCACTACCACGCCCGCCTGCAGGACCTCTATCCCGAGGAGGCCCAGGCCCTTGAGGAGTCCTTAGGGAATACCCGAAGAGTCTTTAAAGCTCCAGAAGAAGAACCTCCTCCTCCTTCTTCCCCCCCTCCTTCACATCCACCCACCGACGTGTCAATTTCCGACGATGAACTAACCACTAGCGAGGAGACCTGAGGTTGTTTGTTTTGCTGGAGGAAGCCGCTGGTTGGTGGAGAGCTGTATATGCGTCCTGATTGGTGAAGAGCAATTTCTTCTAATCATACGAGTGTTCTGATTGGCGGTTAAAATGTGTTATTTAATAAGGGGGATTCTAATTGGTAGAAAACTATGCGAATCTGATTGGTCCTGTATGAGATGAGATGAGATGTGTGTGTGTGTGTGTGTGTGTGTGTGTGTGTGTGTGTGTGTGTGTGTGTGTGTGTGTGTGTGTGTGTGTGTGTGTGTGCATGTGAAGAGGAGAGTTCTTATTGGTGCAAAAGTCGTTAAAAAGTATGGCTTATGGCTTCTATATTGGTCAAAATAATTATGAAGGATTAACAGGGAGATTAATGACACGTAATTTGATCATTTTTGGTGACCTTTGACCTCTGTATATCATCAAAGTTAGAAATAAGATCAAAACATTCCAAATCTGTCTCGATCTGTCTGTAGGGATTATCAAGAGGAGTGTTTACGCAGTGTTCTGTCTAAATTGGGTAGGATAAGTTGGATTAGGTTTAGCTGGATTAGGTTAAGTTGGATTGGGTTGAGTTGGTTTGGTTTGAGTTGGATTGGGTTGGGTTAGATTACGTTAGGTTAGGTTAGGTTGGGTTGCGTTAGATTACGTTAGGTTACGTTAGGTTAGGTTGGGTTAGATTACGTTAGGTTAGGTTAGGTTGGGTTGGGTTAGATTACGTTAGGTTACGTTAGGTTAGGTTGGGTTAGATTACGTTAGGTTAGGTTGGGTTAGGTTGGGTTAGGTTGATTTAGGTTGGGTTGGGTTAGGTTAGGTTGGGTTAGGTTAGATTTTGACCTCCGACCACTGTGAAGAATTACCAGACCAACAAAAGTGTTCATCAAATTACAAGATAATCCGACCTGGTAGTGAGGGATGACATTTACTGGTTTCTGTTGACATGGTGGAAGACAGAGAACCAGACAGACAGACAGACAAAGTGACTGACAGGGGGAAAGAGACAGAGACAGACAAACTGACAGGGGGGAAGAGACAGAAAGACAGACAAACTGACAGGGGAAAGAAACAAACAGACAGACAGGGGAAAAGAGACAGAGACAGACAAACTGACAGGGAAAAAGAGACAGACAGACAGGGTGAGAGACAGAGACAGACAAACTGACAGGGGGGAAGAGACAGAAAGACAGACAAACTGACAGGGGAAAAGAGACAGACAGACAGACAGAGTGACAGACATATAGGAAGGCATACAACAAAAATAATGGCTCTATCTCTATGCTTGAGAGAGAGAGAGAGAGAGAGAGAGAGAGAGAGAGAGAGAGAGAGAGAGACACACACACACACACACACAAACAGATAGACAGACAGACAGACAGGTTCTTACTCCCTGCCTGATCGTCTCGTTTAACTCTGAGTAGAGAAAACTTTTTCTTATTTAACTTGAACAAACTCCTCATGAGGTCATTTCTCAAGTACAGAGAGAGAGAGAGAGAGAGAGAGAGGGTAATTTCTCAAATAAAACACAAAGGATATATTGCCCCATCTCGTTGCTGCTGAGTGAAAGTTGTGAAAAGTTTGGTCCAGTGATTCTGGCGCGTACAGTGTGTGTGTGTGTGTGTGTGTGTGTGTGTGTGTGTGTGTGTGTGTGTGTGTGTGTGTGTGTGTGTTGTGTGTGTGTGTGTGTGTGTGTGTGTGTGTGTGAGTGTGTGTGTGTGTGTGCGTGTGTTTTCTTTGTCTATATTAAGGTAAATAATTTTCATTCTCTCTCACTCACTCTCTCTCTCCCTATACATACACACAAGGTACTGTATATAATAATGTATCTATACTTTACACAACTGGTTACACTATATACATCATACAGTACCTGGTTTTCAGTTGTATTTACGAAGTGATTCTGAACAGCATTTATATAACTAATTCTCCATTAAAATTAACACCCGCTCAGTTATTGTTACTATCTGTTTGTGGCACGACCACGTAACGACCTCAAGTCCCCAGGTTAAAATAAATCGGGTCGTACCTATTATCAACCACATTCGACCTCTTGAGTGGACCAATGTTACTGTGAGTCTCCACCTTCTTCAGCCATTCAAGCGTTCTCCCGTTCCCTGGTGGGTGTCGGACCTAAACGGCGCCATAACATAATATTCCGTGGCGTCGCTCTGAGTTAATGTAATGATTTATATATATATATGTATAATGTCTTCGAAACATAACGATAACAACAGCAACAAAAATCGCTCGGTGAGGCAACAACTGAGAGCTCGTTCGTCCGTAAAGTCTTTTATTTTCTTTATCGCCAACTCTCGTTTTCCCGCGCAAAGAGAAGTTGGCCAGCTGATAAGACGTATTTTCGCGTCCCTCCCATAAATCGCCAGCGCCAGCAAGCCATGGAAAAGCTCTGGCCAGTTGATTTCATTCCATCAATTCACCGTGAAGTTCTCTTTGTTGAATGTAGGCCGGGGATAAATACAACGAAATTAATCGCTGCGGTTATACGTGAGCTGGCAACTGCCTTCATGATGCTGATGTACGATGATGCTACTTTATTGTGTTGCCGGAGGTGACTATTTTTAGTTCTTCTCTTTTTTTTTATTTGCTGGCCTGACTGAGGGATGAGAAAGGGTATCTATCGAACTGTGACGGATCTAGCGAGGGGCGGGGGTAGATTGGCCATCCCCCGAACACAAAAATGGGGAGTTTTGTTACAAAGTACATAAGTAACGTAAACACACACACACACACACACACACACACACACACACACACACACACACACATCAAAAAAACAAAAACAACACATAAACAGTCAGTGTTGAGAAAAGGAACATACAACACCTACATGTGGAAAACACAATTTCCCAAAACAGCGAATGTGAGGGAGATATAATCCTCAAATAATTGTTCGGGAAAATTTCCCTATTACTGTCGTAGTAACCTTCCAGTGTATAGGGACTTCCGTGTTTACATAACAATGACATTACGTGTTTGCATCCGGCAGGGTACACAGTACTGTACCACTGTAATTGTGATACGAGGATATACAACAATACCCCTCCCCCCCACACTGCCCACGTGATTAATAAGGTAATAAAAGCACACGTGGGCATCACAAAAGGATCTGGCTATTGTTAACTGTGACATTTGTTAACGTGTAGAAAGTTGTAACAATAAACTGAGTGTTGGTCGTTTAAATCATTATAAGCGATGAAACAAAACCGTACAGTACTTCATGACGCAGCTGTTGGCCGATAGTACACCACACAACATCCCACCACCTCTTTAGTCAGCCATCACTCAGAGCTAGAATCCTTGCTACTGTAAAACTGTCACCTATACGAAGCACTATATTCTAACCCTGTGCCCATAATTTCCACACACACACAGTCCAGTATAAATGGTATCCACAACTGGCCAGGAATTGTTACAAAAAGTTTAGACAACATTTCAGTGGTAGGGTTCTGTAGAGGAAGTGTGAGTGTGTGTGTGTGGGGAGAGGTAGAGGTGGGGTGGGGTGGGATGGGATGGGAAGGGGTTCATATCGCTTTATGGTTCAGTGACACGGAGTTAAGTACTATAGGATTATATTCCATCAGATAGGAACTCTAAATCCTCTAGTGTTATTCCCAGGGCACCAAGGCAGCGGTAAGAGTGGGAACAAACTTTAAACTATTTATTTAATTTTTTCTTCTCGATTTCTCTTCGTATAGCTCTGGTTCGTGATACCCGGGACCAAACACCTTCCTCTCTTCTGTACGACTGTGTTACACGTGTATTTACATCCTTGGGTTGACGATTCACACCTGATATACCAACTTTTACATGAGGACGAACTAAAAATCTGAAGGCCGTCACAACAAAATTTATCATTAATTTATTAAGAGATTTGTTCGGGTAAAGTGAGCAATGTGTGGAGGTAGTTTGATTAATTTTTAGATTCATTGATTCCTCAGAGGTTAAGCTGCTGTCTATTTTTGAGTTGATGGCTTTTTCATTGTACTCCAGGATGTGTGTGTGTCTGTTTGTCCCTGTTACCCCGAGTGAGAGTTTATCCTTGCTGTCTTATATCCTTCGAGGGTGACTCTTCAACAGCCTCACATTTAACAACCTTAATATAGCGTCTGTCGTAAATGGTCTGTGACAAATACAAAACTTACGTCACGGTTGTTGGTGGCGTCCATGAATCATCAAGTGTCCAAGAGTGGCGTCCTGAGGCACACTGCTTATTTCGCCCTCCCACGCATCCACAGGCCCGCTGACAGCCATACAATGTTTCTGAGCGGAGAACAAGTTGAGAATCACGCCTATCAGTTCTCCCTTAATGCTGTAGCTCTGGTCTTAGGAAGGTAACGGTGACATTATTCGTTATTTCCAACTGTATATTATGTAAATACGCATCTGTAGTTAGTCGTATGTAAAAACCTTCAAATTATACACCATTCATTATCCTATTGGGTGAAAAACAAATCTATAGACGTAATTATTTTTGTGATAATACTGTGTGTAGTGCGTGGAACATGTACAGTTCTTCATGTGTACAGACTTCTACAATCAGACAATTCATCA